CGCCCCCTCCGTCTCCCGCCGAGCCGAAGCTGGAGCAGCAAGTGGCCCAGGAGCCACCCCCGCGAAGGGCGCGCCCAGCACACTTATTCTGCCCCGGAGCAGCTCGGGTGCCCAGCCCAACGCCGGCAACCGCTGCAGGATGCTGCGTTCCACGTCCACCGTCACCCTGCTCTCAGGCGGCAGCTCCAGAGCGCCCGGGACGCCCAGCAGGAGGGTGAGTAGCTGGGGAAGTGGCCCCGGTGGTCTCATTCCCCTGCCACTTCTGCGTTTGAGGTCGCACGGGAGCCAGCCCTCGGCTTTGACGCCCACCCTGGGCTCAACTTTCCCGTCAGTCCCAGCGCTGGTTGTGACCTTCCCACTTGACGCCCAAAGGATGCCTCACCAGCTGGAAAAGAGGTCTTGGGAGACTTTCTGGAATTCCCAGAGTTTTCCTCTCCTTCCTGTCTCTTCTGTCAAGACAAACTTATTGGTGGCACCAGTTTAAAAAAGCAAGGGAGACATTTCTGTAGTATCTCTACCCTGAGGCCCACAAGTAAGATGGATGGTATTTTAAACCCAAACTTTCCTTCTTCCATTGATTAGAAGTAAGTAGGTGTCACTTGTGTTCAGTGTGACAGAATAATACTGATTCTGGAGTGGGTTTAGCCAAAGTGGGTGCCTCTTTGCAAATCAGGGGTTAGCAGCTGGCTGCCCAGGAGCCCAGTTGTATGGGAGGTTAGTTTATGCAAGCCACTTTTTTCTTTCTAGCTTAAATACTAACACAGTGGCAGCAGAGGTGGTCCTTGGTCAACATCCTCAGGGAGGGTTTTATTTAGAAGCCTGTTTCTCTGCAATCTTTTTTATATCCTTTCCCACCTCTGTAGATGCTCTTTGAAGAATGGCTAGGCATATGCATCTTTCACATTCTGCATTTCTTCCAAAATCAGGATCTCAGAGCAAATTGTTAGAGGTTTGGTTTGTGGCTTATTCTTTCATCATGATATTCATTGCTTATTACTTGACATCTCTTCACTGTGATTGAAACTTGCTGAATAATGTTTCCCCAAGTTTATCTGAATGAGTGCTTAAGTCCAAACTAGAAGCCACTTTGGTACCTCTGTTTGCTAGTCTTGTAGACATGCTTATCTACTTTTATATACCTCAACCAATTGGTGGTGGTTATATCACCTTATGAGTTGTCTTTCATTAGCTGTAGAAGATGGGTGTGTGTTACAATTGGGTTGGGCCAAGTGATGAGTTTTGAGTGTGTGTGTGTGTGTGTTTATGTTTGTGTTCATATAGGTTGACAGAACTCTAGTTGTCCAATCATTAACTTCAATAGTCATATTAGATCCTAAGGGGTTTCCAGCCACAGGCCTGGCCTTACTTCAAGGTAGATATTTGCCATATTTCTTTGGAAATATTTGTCAATTTGGAACAAAATTTTGATTGGGAGAGAATAGAAATCACTGAAAAGATACTCCTGAGCCCAGCTGAGGTCCATTTCCCCTCCAGGGATAGGGACTGGTTGGGGTAGCTAAAATGATATTGTAGGTAGATACATAAATGTGATTAGTTTGTATACTGTATACCCAATGACATTTTTTCTCCAATATTTTCTTTTGAGTATCTCTTTAGTTATAAGTGCTTTGGTATCTGGTACATTGTGAACATTTTTGAGAGTGCTTTGCCTTTTGAATAAGACTGTATAAGACTTTGGACTGGAGGTCTCAGGGATCTGAATCAGACTATGCAGGGCTATACTAGGCATCCTGGTACTTGTTTTGGAAAGAGGATATCAAAAAGCTCTAGTGTTCTCCATATCTTTATCATTTCCAACTCTGCCATTGGTTTTGCAAATTTCACAAGTGCTGGGTTTGTGTGTGTGTGTGTGTGTGGGGGGGGAACTGTGGTACAGTGCTGATCAATGGGGTCCATTCTACCTATGGAGGCAGACTTTGTCATAAACTGCTATCATGAAATTATCAAAGCATTAATTGTGTAGTGTGGTGAAGTATTTTCAAAGTTCTGTGAAGCTAAAAGGCACAGTTCCTCCTGAGGCACCTGAGGGAGGCCTCTTACTGCAGGTGATGTCTGAGTTTAGTCTTGCTGTGTGAGTAGGAATTTGTAGGGCAACTGACAATATTGAGATACTGCATGGAGGAATGGTAGCATTTGTCTAAATGGAATATTTGACTTATGGTGTACAACAATGGCATATTGGACCTGCCTTGGGACAAAAACATTTATTTTTAATTTCTTTTTAGGGAAACAAAAACAGGATGTCTTGAAAATAAAATTGCAGGCTAAACAAATAATTATGAAAAGTATTTCCGAAGTTGAAAATTTTTGGTAAAGCCTATATCATTCTTTCATTTCACCCAATGGTACCTAAGTGATGGTCTTTGGCAGGAACATATTAGCCATTAAAATAAATCTTCTGTTTCATCCAAAGAGCTTATCGAGTTAGTGTCTGTGGGGAACCAGGCTATGTTGGTCCAGTCATTCCAGCCAACCGTGGTGACAGCTGACACTGAGCAGGAGTTCAGTTCTCTGAGTCAGCTGCCAGGGGCAGTGTGGGAGACTAGCCTGTCACCAGTTATCCTTTGTTCAGTGACTGCCACCTGCAATTGCACTTCCTTCCTAAGATCATCTCTCATGGGAGGGGGCGGGGGAAGGTGGGAAGACTAATTTCTGTTAGCTGATAAACAAAATTCTGAGAAGCATTTATGGATGCCAAACAACAGGAGTTGTGAAATTTAAAAAAAAAAAAAGCCTTCAAACCAGTTGTGCTCTAAAAATAGTTTTATCTATGGCAACAGCAGGGAGATAAATTGTTTGGAGAATAACCACAGCTAGAATAATGACCTTGGGGAGTGGGGGAAACATTTTTTAATATATTGACATTACTAAATGATTTTGAAAGGAATTTTGTAAATGAAAGTTAATCTTGCTGTGTGAGCCTTTGAAATGAAAGGTCAGTTGCGTGGCCAGGTTGTGAGCTTGGGGTGGAAAGTACTTGTTGTTTTATGTACCCCAGTACTTTTGGCTAAGCTGTTTGGCTAGGGTGGTGTGAGATGCTAGACCTGTCAAGGGTTTTATGTGGCACTGTGTTCTGCTGATAATAAGAGACTGTTGGCTGGTTTTGCTGGTATCATGGCTCCTCAATGGCACATAAAATTCAAGCCGAAACAAACCCCAACAAGGCCATAGGAGAGGATTGTTTCCTAGCCTGCCTCTGCCTTGGCAGAGGCTTCCTAGGTTTAAAACCAGAATGGGCTGATAGTCTTTACTCCCTGGCTAATGCACTAGTCTCTAATGTCCCATTTCTGTTTGATAGCTCAAAAGGAAGAATTCCCTTGGGTCAGACAGGTGTTACCTCACTTCTTTTTCCCAGTCCACAAAAACATCTACGCATGTAAGCTCTGTATCCTTCTGTGGGCTCTGAGGAAGGAACACTGGATGTTGTGGAATCTCAGCAACTGGTGGAAGGAAGCTGTCTGCAGCATCCACAGGGAGAAGAGAGGTGGGTCCTGCTGTACAGAAAACATGCTGGCTTCTCACCCCAGACCTTCTGAGTCAGCTCCTCACAGACCAAGTTGTATAGTTTTGATAGATAGCATCCTTAGGATTATCCCCAAAGCCTTAGTCACTAAAAAAAAAAAATGATAGTTGTAGGTTCAGAAAAATAAAAAATAAAAACCAACCAACTTCTGTGCTTTTGTTTTTCCATCTTGCTGTGTTTAGTGTAGGATGAACAAATTTGAGATTCTCTCTTTTTTTTTTTTTTTGGCGGGGGGGGGGGTACTAGGAATTGAATCAAGGACACTTATCACTGATCCTCCTGCCTCAACCTCCCAAGGCCCTGGGATTATCGGTGTGTGCCAGCCAGCATGCTAGGCCAGACTTGAAATTCTTAAGGAAACTTGATTTATAGAGATGCCACGGTTGCTCTGTAAAGATTATGGGGGATTCTGACCTGTGTTTCTTATCTCCAAAGTACTGCAGAAGGGTTGCATGTGAGGTCCCTGTTGTTTTTATACTGTGCATCCATATCTGAGCAGGGGACCTGGAGGCTGGTGTCACTACCATGCTTCTAGTCACTTGGGAAACTCTTTCAAGTCAGTAAGCCCCAACAATTGTTATCCAGTTCCATTCAAGGAGCTGCGGATCTAGGGCTGATTAGAGAAATGTATTGAAACACTTCAACCCAAATACTTCCAGTGATTAACCACATTATGATCTTAAAATGGCTGCAGTGTTTTTCCAACACAGAGTAGACTACTATATCAGGGTTTACCCCTTTTCCCACTTCAGATGAGTGGTATTTCCTAAGTGTCAATCACACTGCTACTGACTTTTGTTCATTCTTTATGGTCAGAGTAATCTTTCAAAAATTCATAATCCAGTCACCTGATTCCTCTGCTTCAAGAATCTCCTTGGTACTACCAGGGAAAAGTTCCAACTTCTTAGTGTAGCATCTGGGCCCTCCAACCTGGCCGTTGGCTGTTTTTTTCTATACTCCCATACTTGGCCCACGTAGTCCCAGGCATTCCAGATTAATTGTCTTTCTCTGAGCTTCAGTGCTGTTCCTTGCCTCTGTGTTTTTCCTCATGCTTTCCTCTGATGAGGATCATCCCCTCCAGGAAGTCTGCCCTGATTCTTCCTTCCCATGGCTTATGTACCTCACCATTGCTTACTTCCCCTGTGGTTAACTACTTGAAGACAAGTCTTAGGGACTCTCCCTCCTCAGGCCTGATGGAATAGGTGCTTATAGAGAGGAAGTCCCCAGGGTCCTAAAGAAGCCACACTTAGTGTCCAGTTGGCAAATGGAAACACAGGAAGAGAAGCCTTGGGATAAAGCCAATCCACCTGGGCAGGAAACAGGTGACTGGGTGGATGGGAATTCTAGTCCAGGTGAGGATTTGACAGTTCTGGGAAAGCCTCCAAATATTCTAGTTGTTTCATCCTGTAGCACAGTTGGAGTTTCATTCTTTGGTTAAGTCAGTGGTTCTCAACCCTGGTTCTGTGTGGAATCACCAGGAAACTTAAGAGAGCTCTGTCCTGGCCTCACCCTAAGCCAATTCAGGGGAACCTCTGAAAGTAGACAAGAACATTTGCATTTTTAAGGAGGTTTCCTTGAGCCTGGGATAAGACTACTTCTATAAGAATCTTTCTATTTCTATAAGAATCACTCCTCCCTGAAAGCTTTCCTGGTTCATTCTTGGGACAGTG